GCCAACAGTTGAGAGACTTCCTGGTAGATCCTCTTGTTACGTGTTGCCCCATCCAACTCTTGCTGGATTTTTTCATCAGCTACCAAACGCAGAAACGTTTGCACCTCCTGATTTGACCACTGCGTGGTTTTGCGGGCCGCCATGTAATCGGTATTGTTTAAGTAATTATAACAAATTTAAATATAATGTATAAACAGAAGGTAAGTAGTCAAGCCCGCCACATATCTTGATCATGCCCGGGACAAGATGAGCTCCATAGACCCCTGCCCCCTCCACACACACCTCCAAAATACTAGGAAGTCTCGCATGTTGATGACGCAATCTCTCTGACCAATCGCTAGTCTGCAGTGTTTACACATCACCGTTTTGCATTGCCCCAGCTCGCTTGGAACCTCGACGGAGGTGATACCAAAAATAGTGCCAGGTACTATCCCTGACATCTGACTGATGGAAACACAAATAGGCGAGTCAAGCTGAGCCGGTACCAGGCGGTGGAAGAAGGAAAAGGGCCAGGCTACTACCATAATACCACACCAATGAGTACTGCTATCATAAGAGGGCATAATACATTTGACAGCTGCACTTTAAATTTATATTTATATAAAATACGATTTTATAGACTAAAATATAATTAATTGCTATACAGACAGCTGCACTTTAAATTTATATTTATATAAAATACGATTTTATATGCTACAATATAATTAATTGCTATACATGTATCTACCCCAGTATAAAAATTTGTTCCTTAAAAATATTTGGCTCTACCTCAACCAACTTTAAAAAAAAGCACTATTTACACATTTAGGTCTGCTCTGGAAAGAAGAGGAATGAAAGTCAGTCGTGGTAAGACAGAATACATGTGTATGAACGAGAGCGAGGGAAGTGGACCAGTGAGGTTACAGGGGGCTGAGGTCAAGAAGGTGCAGGAGTTTAAGTATTTGGGGTCAACAGTCCAGTGTGATGGGGAGTGTAGGAAAGAGGTGAAGAGGCGAGTGCAGGCAGGTTGGAGTGGGTGGAGAAAGGTGTCAGGAGTGTTGTGTGACAGAAGAGTGGCAGCAAGAATCAAAGGAAAGGTGTACAAGACAGTAGTGAGACCAGCTATGCTGTATGGGTTAGAGACTGTAGCAGTGAGGAAAAGACAAGAGGCAGAGATGGAGGTAGCAGAGATGAGGATGTTGAGGTTCTCTTTAGGAGGGACCAGGATGGACAGGATTAGGAAGGAGCACATCAGAGGGACAGCTCAGGTCGGCTGTTTTGGGGACAAGGTCAGAGAGGTCAGATTGAGATGGTTTGGACATGTGCAGAGGAGGGATAGTGGTTATATTGGTAGAAGGATGTTGGAGGTGGAGCTGCCAGGCAAGAGGTCAAGAGGAAGGCCAAAGAGGAGATATATGGATGTGCTAAAAGAGGACATGAAATTAATTGGTGTGAGAGTAGAGGATGCCGAGGATAGAGTTATGTGGAAACAGATGATTCGCTGTGGCGACCCCTAATGGGAACAGCCGAAAGAAGAAGACAACACATTAATGGTCAATGATAGAACCCAGCGTGCATTTTCCTGCTTAAACACTAACTTTTGATACTTTGAGTACACACTGCTAATAAACCTGCATACTTCGATGTAGAATGTTGCAGTACTCCTACATTTACCTAAGGGTCTGAATGACTCCACCACTGATGACAACTCCATATCCAAGTCCCATTTTAGGACTTATGACTACAGTGGAACAAATATAACTTTCACATGACAAATAAACCAGATCAGTCCTTGGTTGTGTGTATTTATTTATCAAAAACAAGAAAAATATTGAGAACATGTATACTACTTAATGGCTTATACACATGGCCACTTACAATAGGATAAGTAATGGGAAAATTCACCACACAATCATCACACATTTTCATAATCCTAAATGGTTACTGTGCCAATCCTAAATTATAGCTCATAATGTTTTCTCGTGAACACCATTACAGCAACAAAACTCTACAGCTGGGAAGAAAGTTACACAGTGGTAAATCAGCCTATTTTCAATCTAAAACAAAAGCAGTTGTAATAATTCATGGTTACATAAAAGCTTGTGTAGCGAAAGGCGGTTTGAATCACTATACTTTTCACAAGGACACAATGACAAAGTTAAATGTTTCCTAATAACACTACAACACTATTACACAGCAGACAAATAATCTAATCACATGCACAGAAATACTGGTACTTTTATTGTACTGTTTATATGCCATCTCTTAAATATTTTATATAGTTAGCTGCTGAAAAGCATTTTCTTCACCTTTCAGTTTAGTTTCTAATGAAAATGATTACCCTAGATCACAGAGTGCTCGAATAGCACTAGTACTACCTAATTTTTCTCAAAATGCGACAGATTATGTTAACATATTACTTACTGATTTTGTCACATAACCTTGATTATATTGAAAATAGCATTGTTGTACAGTGAAAAAAATGGACTTTGTTATTAGTGATGCTTCAGCTGACTGGGCAATGATTGGAGTGGACTGAAACCCATTATAACTCAAGTTTGCGAGCTTAAAATTCAGTGATTAGAAAACAATTAACCTAACATTATACAAAATACATTTTTACGACCTAAAAATCATGGTGACCTACCTGATTACCACACCAGGGCTAACTGAAAATTATATAGTTCAAAGGGTCTCTTATGTGGTATCTTTCTGGACTAGTCTGTTTTATTTACACCAGTCATCAGCATCACCACTGATCAAAGCTATTTAATACAAAATATAATTTTTGGATTAATAATCATCGCTACCCTCGTCTTCCTCATCATACTTCCTCTTGAGGGAGTGTTTCTTATGCTTACCCCTGTGCCTCCGTTTACCAGAGAAGTCAGGGTTAGCGTCCCTTGCATGCAATTGCTCGTGCTTCTTCAGAAGGCCGGGCACAGAGAATCCCTTCCCACACGTGTCACATGTCCAGGGCTTCTTGCACGTATGGGTCCTTTTGTGGACGTTCAGATGGGATGCCAGCTTGTAGGTCTTCCCACATACGTCGCAGCTGAAGGGGCGCTCATTGGTGTGTAACCGGATATGTACCTTCAGATTCCCAACCTGAGTGAAGGTCTTTTCACATATGGAGCACCGGTAGGGTCTCTCTCTGGTGTGGATCCTCAGGTGAACTCTCAGGCAGTACTTACTGGAGAACTTCTTTTGGCAGACAGGGCATGGGATCTTTGCTTTGGGTACATGGTCTTGCTGGTGCCTCTTCAGGTCAGACAAATAGACAAAGGTCTTTCCACACTGGGAACAGAGATATTGACGCTCGCCAATATGGTAGCCCATGTGTCTCTTCAACAAGCTGGGGACAAGGAATCGCTTCCCACAACGCTCGCACATATGAGGACGATCTCTGGTGTGCCAGCGCTCGTGGTTTGACAGCTTGAAAGCTGTTGGGAAGATTTTACTGCAGTGCTTGCAGGGGAATGACAATTGGCTCGTGTGGCACTCCATGTGTCTTTTGAAGTAGGTGGACTGTGTGAAGCCCTTGTTGCAGATGTTGCAGTAGAAAGGCTTTTGGCCACTGTGGGCGAGCATGTGCTTCGTTAGACTTTGCAGTTTGGAGAAATACTTGCCACACTGGCCGCAAGCGTAGGGGCGTGCTGTGCTGTGGGTCTTCAGGTGGTTGTTGAGGAATGCCTGTGTTCTGAAACTTTTATTGCATGCTGTGCAAATGAAAGGCTTCTCACCTGTATGAATGCGCTCGTGGTCCATTAGCTTGGACTGATAAGGGAAGCTCTTATCGCATACACTGCAAGTATATCTGTCAGCTGGTGGTCTAATTTGCTTTTTTCTTCTTATGCTTGGCTTCATGTCATCTATTACAGTAAACCGAGCTGGAGGAAGTGGTGGCAAGGCTGGAAGTGAGAGCGAGTTAGTGGCAATCTGCGACACCCACTGATGCAGTGTGACACGCCGAGTCTTTTGGCCATCTTTTGTTCCTGTGCTGCCTGCGCTCTGTGAAATGGGAGTGGTTTTGATTGGCACTTGAACTACCCTAAAAGGGATTGACTTCAGGGGCAGCTGCTGTAGTTCTGGTTTCTCAGGTTCTGCTGGCGCTCCATCTTCCCCTTTGTTTTGCAGAGTCATGGCAGACTGCTCCTTTGGAGGACTCCCCTCCTCAACCACATTCTCCCTCTGAGGTGGTGTTGTGGCACTTTTTTCCTTTGCAGTATCAGATGTTTTATCACTGTTCCAACCTCTTCGTACTACTCTAGCAGGGGTTGCTGGGCTCTCTGAGTCATCTGACATCACTCCCAAGTCTTCAGCGTCACTGAGGGAGGCAGGGCTTGTTTCATTGAGGGTGACTTCTAGTCGCTTTGGTGATTCTGGTGGTGGGGGTGGGGGTGTAGGTGGCTCTACTTGTTTGGGCCGGAAGGCGAGTGAAGAGAACACACAGTCACCCACTGACGATGAGATGGTTGCTGCACAAAAAAGGCTTTTTCAATTTATTCATTCAGTGTATTTAATGACTTACAACATTTTGCCACACTTACAGTGGCAAGAAAAAGTATGTGAACCTTTTAGAATTTCATGGTTTTCTGCATTAATTTGTCATAAAATATGATCTAATCTTCATCTAAGTCAAGAGTACTGATGAATACAATGTGCCTAATATAACAACACAAAAAATTCAGATCTTTCATGTCTTTATTGAGAACCATAAAAACATCATAGTGCTAGTAGATAAAGTATGTGAACCAGTTATTAATTCCAGGGGTTCACTTACCTTTTCCACTACCATTTTGAATGTTGAACAGGTGTCTTCAATACATACATGAAAGATCAAATTTTTTTTTATTTTAGGCACATTAAATTTTTCAGTACTCTTGACTTAGATGAAGATCAGATCACATTTTATGACAAATTAATGCAGAAAACCACAAAATCCCAAAAGGTTCACATACTTTTTCTTGCCACTAAAGCTATTTATTATTTATATTTAGCTTTACTACTGTCTCTGCCTACTGTAACATTAAAAACTTTTTTGGTATAAACTGATAAATATGTTCTTTTATTACTTGGCGACAATTTCTTTTTTACAACATTTCATCATACATTTATATATAT